ATCTGATTAATCTTCCTACGTGCCTGGTTAAGATATTTATAATGTTTACCACAAAAGACAAAATAATACTACTAAAAACGCCTTTTTATTTTTTACCTAAATTAAAAATACAGCACACCAAAGTCCCATCAGACAGCAAAGGATTTAAATTCTCCGACATTTTTAATAAACTTTGTCATAAAGTTGTACATTATTTGTTTGGGGTTTTAATTGTTAGTTATAAAAGTTAAAGGCCTATTTTAATGTTTTTTTTATTCTTTTAGATAACAGAGGACTTGAATGTGATACAATGCATGAAGACGTTGTTCCTTGAAGCTCCTCCTTATGGTACAATATCAACGAGATCCGATAATCAAGAAGTATTTGATCCTTTGAGTGACGATAAGTACATTCCTGTGTTTGGAACTGAAGCTTTTCCGACAACTTCTACGAGCGGGTTTGAGCAAGAACCAGAGGATCATGATTCGTTTATTAACGGAGGTGGTGCGTCTCAGGTACAAAGCTGGCAGTTTGTGGGAGAAGAACTCAGTAACTGCGTTCACCAATCGCTCAATTCAAGCGACTGTGTTTCCCAGACGTTTTTTGGAACAGCCGGGAGAGTTGCTTGTGATCCAAGAAAGAGTAGGGTTCAACGGTTAGGTCAAATTCAAGAACAGAGTAACCGTGTAAATATGGACGATGATGTTCATTACCAAAGCGTGATATCGACGATTTTCAAAACGACGCATCAGCTGATTCTTGGACCGCAGTTTCAGAACTTCGATAAGCAGTCAAGTTTCACGCGGTGGAAGCGGCCATCAGCTGCAAAAACGTTTGGAGAGAAATCGCAGAATATGTTAAAGAAAATTATTTTCGAGGTTCCTCTGATGAACCAAAAGGAGTTGTTGTTACCGGATACACCCGAAGATAGCGGGTTAAAGGTTGGAGATGACAACGTGAACCACGCATTGTCCGAGAGGAGACGCCGTGAGAAACTGAATGATCGGTTCATTACGTTGAGATCAATCATTCCTTCGATTAGTAAGGTATCGTAATTATTCAACACTTTAGCTTCAATAACGTTTTGCATTTACTACTAATCTTGAGTCTCTTGCGGAACCTTTAGGTCGATTAGTAAGGTAACCTAATTCAACACTTTTGCATCAATAACGTTTTGCATTTACTACTAGCGACATAAAATAAAACGTTTTGCGTTTGCATTGTTAACTTATTATGTTTTCAGTGGACTAATTTTGAGTCTCTTGCGGAACCTTTAGGTCGATAAAGTCTCGATTCTTGACGATACGATTGAGTATCTTCAAGAACTGCAAAGACGGGTTCAAGAATTGGAATCTTGCAGAGAATCTACGGATACAGAAATGCGAGTGTCTATGAAGAGGAAGAAACCGGAGGATGAAGATGAAAGAGCTTCGGCGAATTGTATGAACAGCAAGAGGAAGGAAAGTGATGTGAATTTAGGAGACGATGAACCGGCTGATACAGGTTATGCTGGTCTAACCGATAACTTAAGAATTGGTTCGTTCGGTAACGAGGTGGTTATTGAGCTTAGATGTGCATGGAGAGAAGGGATATTGCTTGAGATTATGGATGTTATTAGTGATCTCAACTTGGATTCCCACTCGGTGCAATCATCAACGGGAGACGGTTTACTCTGCTTAACCGTTAATTGCAAGGTACAGTCGTATCCCAATGTTGGTTTAAATTAACCCGCATATTAACAAACCGAAATTTGATGTATATATGTTCAATGTTGGTTGCAGCATAAAGGGACAAAAATAGCTACAACAGCAATGATCCAAGAGGCACTTCAAAGGGTTGCATGGATTTGTTAAGGTCTCTCGGTTTAGATTTGATAGAATTAGCTTTTTATTCGGTTCGGTTTTCTGATCTTCGGCTCTCGGTGATTCTAACCACATTTTTGTGATTTTAAATTTTGGAAGGTCCTTTGGAATTATTGTAAGATCGAATTTATTTTGGTTCATGAACGTAGACATATAATAAGTTCCTTACTTAACATACTATTTTTAGTGTGTAAATAAACTAGAAGTCGAACATAAGTAAAAAAGTAAATGTTCAATATAGTTTGTGACTAGTTTAAAGTTCGACCAAGAACAATTAAATAGTAAAATCTAAATAGACAGAAGATAGTTCGATCTCAGTGTTCTTTTGGTATTTTTTTAGAAAATTCAATGTTTAGAATAATATATTTAGAAAAGTTAAAGATAGATTGGTGGTCAAAAGCTGGTATAAAGTGTTTGTTCACAAAATACAATGCCTTATTAAAAAGAAGTAATGTCATTTCAAATAATTGCATCTAACGCCACTGAGAAATTGAACATGCGTTACCATTTTAACATTAACTTTTTTTTTTGATATATATATATAAAAGAGAATGAAGAAAATCTAAGCACACGAAGTCGGACTGTATTTGGATAAGTCTCTATCTTTTTAGTATAACATTATTGAAAATTCAGAATGAGGCGTTAGAAAATTTGGTTGAACAATTTCTTGATTTAGAACAAAAATAATAGAGTGGCGATTCTTTAATGAGATTGGTTGGCATGGTAGGTGGCCATTAACAAGATCCATCGATTGGTGAAGTTGAGGTTTGTGTAGATTGATAAGAAAGGCAAGTGGAGGATATATACAATAATTGTAATTGGTAACATTGAAAAAAAATTAACAAAAAAAAACTTGAAAAACAAGAAGAAAATGATTAAGATGTTGTAATTTACTAATGAATGAATAAAGATGAGAGAAACTATTGTACTACTAAGGTTTTCTCTAAACTCTATCAGACTAAATTTAACTTGTTTGAGTCCCTGGTCCGAGAAGATAATGGACCTATGCATGGAATATTTCTTTCTTGGTTAACCAATAAAATGTATGAATCCAACTAGTACTATTTATAAATATGGCTATATAATCATTAATCCATGTATAAATTTACTAACTAATATCTATAAGTTCGACTGTAACATGCATAACGATGGCATGTAAAACTTCGACTATATATAGCATGTATATACATCATGTATTAATTTGACTATAGCATGCATATATATATACAGTTATAGTCTATAGGTATAGATCTCACTTGAATAAATTCGAACCAAAGTGCGGTTGGCTCAACCGGTTAGAGCTAGGGAGATTATGGACCAGAGTATCCTAGCTAAGATGTTAGTATGTTACACAAAGAATAATATACGTTTGTGGGGCACCATATATAATTTATATATCATGAAAGGCTGATTCTAGAGCTAGGGAGATTATGGACCAGAGCATCATAGCTAAAACAATATATGTATAATACGTATGATAATAACATAATATTGTGTAAACCTGCATTATAAATAAATCGAGTTACAACATACATAAATCCGACTATAACATATTAGCTAAATTAAAACATGTATAAACTCAGTTATAACAACTCATCTTTAACATGTTCTAGATCTATAAAAATTTGTTACAATATATGTAAACCTCCACAAGTAAATTTGGTTTGATCACTGTCAAATTTTAAATGATACAGAAAAAAGTTATTCAACATTTAATATAGTTGCCCGAACTTTTTTGCAACACTATTCAACCTTGTTCAACCCAACCCAAAAGATTCACCATTTTATTTGTTTCTTGAAGTGAAAAGAACAATTATGATTGTTAAAAGTTAAAGATAGAGGGCACGATTTGGATTGGATTTAAAACAGCATTTTATTTGGCTACTCATTTAGTAAACTAGGTTCTCAAGCAAAATTGTTTACTAGTCCTAAACTAAACTTCATTTCAGTTAAAATAGTTTAAACTTTTTTTTTTTCTTTCGGTAATTTTTTTTTGATCGTCTGAATGCAAATTTTTAAAAAAATTATAAAGATAATATTTAACGGACAAATTAACTATTCCACAAAGATCCACCATAGATATACGGGCCCACCATGAATAACTCCACATGTCCGTCTTTTCCTTGTCTGAATATCTCTATTAACCTGTAGAAATTGTTTGTAAGAATCAAAACCTAGACTTTCTGGTATAGAAACATTAATAAACATTTGATTTAGTCGACCACTGGACTAAGAACTTCCACTTTCTTTCGGTAATTTAGATTCAACTTTTCATATACAACAAAAAAACAAACCAAATCTTAACCGGAAATACTAAACCAGTAATCCCAAATATTCAACAATCAACCCAAACTTCTAAAAAAAGATTCACAAGAAAAAAGACATTGAAAATCAAGATTAAAATGAATGGTAAACACTAAACATATATCTCAAAAAAAGAGTTATTAAAATTATAAACATAAACGAATATAAGAACAAGCCATCAAAAACGAAACTAAAAAAAAGTTTTTCTTAACTAATACAAGATAAATGTTTCTTCTTCAACATGGGTTCAGGCCATTTTTACTCTCCCCAGAATCTTCATTGGCCAGAATAACCTAAGAAAAAAGTTACAACTTAAGAACTCTGAACTGAAACTCTCTCAAAGATATCCCATAGTATGTTCAAATTTTTAACATGAAGTTCATTGCAAGCGCTTTAATCTCAAGGGACCAATGGATTCGGATATTGCTGTTAGCATTTGCTTCTTGCACTTGAATAAAAAGAGAGAGTTAGCTAAAGAAATAAATATTTACAGATCAAACAATGAAGAAATTTAACCTACCAAAGAGAGCATAGTCTTTCATGACAGATATTATACTCCATGCAAGGGTTATCCTTATCGGTTAGATTTCAAATGGTGGTCACATCCAAAAAAAAATAACAAAACAAATAATATGGTGAATCTGTTTCATTGGCAACATCACATTTAATTCAAGCGACTTTTAGATATATATAAAACTGAAAACGACTTGAATTATCATCAGAAAACCATATTCTACTAATAATAAGAATCACCACCATCATTGTTAGATGATTATGATGATAAATCTATTTTACATGGTCGAAGAATCGCAGACATCCATAAATAAAAAGAAAGCCAAATCTATATGATTCTCTCTATTCCCATTCAATCGTTGAAGGAGGCTTTGATGTAATGTCTTGAACCACACGGTTTACTCCTTGAACACTGTTACAGATTTTCCGGGAGACATCGTCCAGAAACTTGTGCTCAAAATTGTACCTGCAAACATATCACCAATCTCAGTACAGAGTCACAACTCTAATCTGCGTTTGCGTTTCCACCGCAATAAACCAAGCACACAAAAATGACACCAATAAAAGTAGAGCATTGAAGACAAACACACTCGTTATCCCTAAGAATCAAGATACCTTTGTTTTAAAGAGTAAAGATTTGTTAAATACTCAGATCCTATAATACCACAATAACTGAATTAACCAACTTTAAGATATTTGGTAGATCAAAACCTCAAGTATTCACATTAACACTGAAACAAGTTTATGATCAAATTGGTTTTACATGCATCGGCATCGGTATGAAGAAAAGTAAGAAGCTTACCAATCAGCAGTCATTCCGTCTTGGCTTGTAACTGCGCGAAGAGCAACAACATGAGAATGCGTTCTCTTGTCGCCTTGGACTCCAACTGATCTTACAGGCAAGAACACTGCAAAAGCTTGCCAGATCGAATCATACAGACCCGCATCTCTGATTGATTGGATGAAAATCTCATCAACCTGAGATAAACCGGAAAAAAAACCAACCAAAAGATATGAGTTTGGTCAGAATCTATGTTTCAACTTAACTGAGCAATGCACACATGGGACGGTTGCTGCCTATGCTTTGCAGTTAAGATTTTAGATAAACTTGCCTGACGAAGAACCTCGAGGGCGTTTCCTTGAGTAACATCGCCCAAGACTCTAACTGCGAGCCCTGGACCAGGGAATGGGTGACGCTTCAAGAATCCTACGGGAACATTCAAGATTTTCCCAAGCTCACGGACCTATATCCAACAAAAACACCAAAGAAAGTTCAGTCACAAACTATGCTGTTGCAGAAAGGAATGATAGTTAAAGACAAAACTAAACAAACCTCATCTTTGAAGAGAAGCTTGAGTGGCTCAATGAGCTTCAACTTCATGTCTTTAGGGAGCCCTCCTACGTTATGATGGCTTTTGATGGTGTGAGAATGGGTCCTGTCAGTACCTGGGGGTGGGCAGGACTCGATCACATCAGGGTACAGAGTCCCTTGAACTAGAAAAGCAGGTTTCTTCCCGTGCTTCTTCTCTAACTCCTGGGCAAACTGATCAAAAATGTTGATGAACTCCTTTCCGATAATCTTCCTCTTCGTCTCGGGATCCACAACGCCTTTAAGTTGACTCAGGAACTGCTCGGATGCGTCCACACAAGTAACAGGAAGATGCAAGTCTCTCTCAAAGGTATCCATCACACGTTCTTGCTCCTTAAACCTACAAAACAGAACAAGTCTCAGTTTTAAAGAAAACAACACATTATAAGTGCACAGCACAGTGTAAAATCGGTTCTTCTCTGACCTTAATAGACCGTTATCGACAAAGATGCAATGAAGCCTATCTCCAATAGCCTTGTGAACAAGAGTTGCGGCAACAGTAGAGTCCACGCCTCCTGACAAGGCGCAAATGACATGTTCATCGGATGCAACGGTTTTGTTAATCACTTTGATCTCTTCTTCCATGAGATCCTCCATTTTCCAGTCTGCAGATACTCCACAGACATCAAAGAGGAAGTGCTTAAGTGTCTCCATTCCTCTAGGTGAATGTGTCACCTGCAAAAATCAAACAAAAAAAGCCATTTCATAAGGCTACAAATTGACAGTTCTCACCAAAACCATCTTTAGACATTCACAAGCAAAAGCTCAGTCAATCGAACAGAACTACCTATTCATAACATGGGAAAGATCCAGACTTTGACATCCACAAACCCTAAATCCACTAAAAATCCAATAAAGGCCATTTCATCATAAGCGAAAATCAACATTATCCAGACTCTAACCTATGCTTTACAAACCCCAGAACATCTATTCAACTGAAATTAACAAATAGTTCTCTAATCAATGGACAAGTAAACCATTGCAATATTATAGTCAATTAAACAAACTAGCGATTTAACATAAAAAGCCTCACTTTTCATTTACCAGAGAGAGACAGAACATGAAAAATTCTCCCAAGACCCATCAGATTCACTAAGATATGAACAGCTAACATGCTAAAGATCCAGACTTTTATCATCAATAAACCTTAAACCCCACTAAAACCCCAAATTCAAACTCAAAACTATGATATTCTATCATTTTCTTCAAGTTTTTCAATACCTCAGGATGATACTGCAATCCATAAATCTTCCTCTCCCGATTCTCCAAAGCAGCAACGGCTCCCTGAGCGCTCTGAGCCACAACCTCAAAACCTTGAGGAAGCTTAACAGCTTCATCTCCATGACTCATCCAAACCATTTGCTTATCTCCACCACTCTCCGACCCAAAAATCTCCGATTTGCCTTTCACTTCAATCTCCATCTTCCCATACTCTTTACTCTCTCCTTCCACAACAACACCACCAAGCTTCTGCACAATCAATTGCAAACCATAGCAGATACCCAAAACGTGAACACCGTTGGACTCAGCCCACTCGATGAACCCGTCGGGGAAACTCGGCGCGTCGAGCGCGTGGACGGAGTGTGGCCCACCGGAGAGGATAACGACTTTTGGGTTATAGCTTGTGATTGATTTGAGTGACGAGGTTCCACTGATTACGAGAGAGAAGACGTTGAGAGATCGAATCCGGCGAGTGATGAGATGTGTGTACTGTGAGCCGAAATCAAGAATCAGAACCGTGTCGGGCTTCATCGTCGGCGTCTCCATGGAGGCTTTAGAGGTTTTGGAGATTGGTGAAGGAAAAATGAGATTTAGGGTTTTACCACTGTGTATGGTCAGGATAGGCTTGGCGGGAAGCGGAGGCTTATAAAAACACAGCAGAAGCAGCAACTAGGGTTTTGCGACTTTTGTCCGAATCACAGAAAACGAGAAGACGATCTTTTGTCATTAAAATTAGGAAAGAAAAAAAATAAAGTTCGAATTTTTTTGCCCATAATTTCCGGCTGCTGAATTGCAAAAGCAAAAACCCTAAATCCCTAATTCCAATACAAAATCTTCAAATGGTCAAAGTCAGAACCTTTTCAACGAGTCAGAAGCTTTTACTTGAACTAGAGACAACGAAAGAAAAGATCGGATCTTTTTGTGATTTTGCAAAACTAATTATGATGAGAAGATTCTCAAATTTAATTTTTTTTTTTATACATAGCAAAAAAAATTGTTGAATAGTTCCGTAGAAGTTCAGATTAATCAACATATCCTCATCTGCATTGTTCTGAGCTCAGGAGAGATCTCGAGCACCAATTGTTGCAGAATCTTTTCCACAATCTCAGACACAACACCTTCAGATTCACCACCAAAATCCGACCAAAGACATGGCTTTGCCAGATCAGTCTCAATGATCTGATCCAATGTTCTTGGGGCAGAGTCACAGCAGAGTAAACTCCACTCGAAACGACTTATCGTCTCGTGAATCAGATCTTCTTCTCTTAAGGAAGGTGGTAGATTCACGACTCTCGAGCTCTTAGATGGCGTGAAAGGCCAAAACTTGATGTCTTGACGGTAAATCTCGCGGAGAATCTCGTCGGTGTAATCAAGAACAAGAAGAAGATGATCGTTGTTGTGATTGCCGTGTGAGAATTCGTCGAGTAGCGATGTTTCTTCGTTGCATCTCGCCATAAGATTAGTCCAATCCAATCTTGAAGCTTCAAGAACTCTCTGCACAAACTCATGAACAGAGTCTTTCTCGACAAGATCCACGTTTGGGTCATCAAAGGATACTAAACCAATCTGCTCTTCTGCAAGAAAGTAACAGACTTTTTCAGGTAAATCAAATAGAGGATTACTGATCTAAGGATGAAAATCATCAAAAACATTGATCCAGGGGGCTTTTACCGAGTTTAGAAACTTTCACATTTCCCGGGCTAACTGTTTCGTCTTCCAAATGAATCCTCTCTAGAACAGAGACAGGGCTCGGTTGCTCCTGCTCCTGTTTCGGGTCATGAACGATTCTTTCGAGACTCGAACTCGACTCCTGCAATGATTCAAATCATAGATTAAACATCAAATCAGCGTGGACACATAAGAAATGTCTACTCTTTCTCTCAGAAGTAACTTACCGCAAATGAGCTATCGAGAGATCTATCTTCCTCAAATCCGTCTTCTACATGAGCTCTCAGACTTCTGTACTCAGTAGAACCTGGTTCAATTTTTCAACAGTTTAGTGACATTACCTCGAAGATGATTCGTTAAAGTTTTTGTGAACAGTTTCTTTTACCTGTACAATTGTCGTCGAGAGACCTTAGATTAGAGTTGTGCGGATTCGGGTCAAAAACATCGAAGTTCTTGTCCTTAGACCACAACTTGAAGCTCTCTCTTCTCTTCTCAAGCCTCTGTCTTCTCTCCTTGAGTTTTGTCTGCAAGTTACTCAATGCATTAGGAACTTCATAAACCGGTGAAGAATTCGATCTCTCCTGTTGCCTTTCCACCATGAATCTCCTTGGCAAAACATCATTCTCGATGCTTAGCTTGAAGACATCAGATTCAACCCGTTTCTTGCGCCTAAACACCGGTGACTCCGGGCTTCTATAGCCAACTGTACTGGTCGAAACATCACTTGTTCTAAAAGCAGCAGCCTCGGTTTCTCTGGCTTTACCTCTACATTCAGGTTTAGCTTCTACTTGGATGCTGTCTTTGTTAGATCCAACAACAAGCTTCAACTTCTTGGCTAGATGTTTGAATCTCAAGTACACTCTATCGTCAACCGAGCTTGACAATCTAGGCTTCAAGAGAACAACTTTATCCAAATCATCAGCCAGTGAAACAGATGTGTCTCGTGGTTCTTTGACCTTAGATCTCTCCAAGTCTTGGCCTCTTTTCGCCGAGAAAGAGTTAGGATCTTGTAAGAGTGTAATAAACAATTCCTTGTTCGAACTTAGAATGTCTAACGCTTCCATGAACTGCTTAGACCGGTCTTTTCCTTTCTCCTCTGCCTTCGGACAGATTAATCTTTCAGCGGCTTCATTCACACAAACTTGAAGGTTAATCTCTGAGCTCTTCTTGCAATCTCTCCTATTCTTCAGATCCATTTGCTTATCCTTATCATTTGTCTTCTCAGTCTCACTCAAGGAAGACTGCTTTAGCTTATCCGGGATATCGCAAGTTTCCTCCTTTACATTTTTAATCCTCTTAACCTCTCTCTCTGATAATCCCTGAACAGGTTTTGATTCAGAGTTCTCATCTTCTCTTTCAGAACTAAAAGATCTTCTCCTCGTTTTAGGCTTACATGAGTTCTCTCCTTCCACAATCCGCTGAACAAATCAAGAGATTCAGTTTTCTCCTTCGAAATCCGAAAAGATAATACAAAAGCTAACAATTTAAAAAAGGAACTTACATCATTACACTGACATTTCTCATGAAGCCTCTTGAGCAAATCAAGCTGGCTTTTAGTATAAACATTACCTGAAAAACAAGAATCGAATTAAAAATAAGATCATGAAGTGATCCAAAAGACAATGTTTTGAAAACACTAGTAGTACTAACCAGCAGAATCTCTGACGAATTTCTTCTCAGAACTCAGTCTCTTATTACCAGATTTGACATGTCTGAAATCGAAGAAGTTTATCAGTTTCCAACCACAACCGGACTTATAACTCTCGTAGACAAGAGGGCTTTTAGGGAAAATTGCAGTGCCAGGACTCTTGCTGCTTCTTGGTGATCTCTTCTTCTCCATTAATGACCAAAGAATCCACAGATCATTCAAAACTCTGGTCTTCAATCTAGTAAATGCCGATTCAAAAACCTGAAAAAACGAAAATCCTATCTTTTAACAAAAAACATTAACTAAAACCTTATAAAAAACAAAGAAAAAACAGAGTAATCTTCTAACTCTGTCTGTTAATTGCTTCTTCTGGATACAAAACTGTCAATTTTACTTTATGGGTTTCCTTACCCTAAACCCTAGACTGGGATTTTCAGTAAAAACTTCGTCATGAAAAGAACCTTCTTTAGCCTAAAAATGCAATCTTTCCATGTATATGTGTGTAAATAGCAGAGATTCGCTTACCTGACTTTTTAGGCTGAAATGGGTCAGAAAAAAATGCAAACTTTTCTTTTCAGAGCCTGTGGAGCCAATCAAGCACTGAGCTTAGAGATGGACTGATAAACTTTATGAGTTCAAAACCCCAAATTTTTGATTCTACATACAAAAGAAAAATAAAGTGCCCAACATGATTGAGGTTGGGTTTTTGAAGATCTTTAGAGAAAATTAAAGGGACCCTTGTCTCTTCATCTACCCATGTAATGAAAAAATAAAAGATTTTTAAGTGTTTTTATAAATTGGGTTTTTTTTTTAGTTTTCAAGAAATTTTTGTAAGGACAATAAATGAGGATTACTGTTTATTCTTGGAGATGGGTCCTCTCGCCATTAAAGAGGCTTTAGTCCCGTTATGAAGAAGAAGAAGATGGAAGGAAGAAGCTTCATAAAATTAAATGAAATGTGTAAAATAGAGGAAATGATTAGAATAAAGGAAAACAATAAAAAAGACCAATAGAAATTTACACTTTTAGATCTTTTTTTAGCCCATCAGACATTTTTTTTTGTTTTTCGCAGGCAACAAGACATTTCTATAGTGGAAATGTTTGTTTTCTTGTAATAATCTAAAATTACTTTTTTTTTTTTGCAAAATAAATAAATGAAAATGAGAAAGAAGGAGAGGGACGTGAGAATGAAAGAGACATTGGAAAATTTGCAGATCATTTCACATATAAGACAATGCTTTCAAAGAAAGCTTTTACTTCTGTCCTCTTCTTATCTACAAATACACATCTCTATATAAAAAAAAAGTATATATATATATATATATGTGTGTGTGTGTGTGAAATATAAATTTTACAATGGGTTTTATGTGATTTAACATTAATTTATCACTGTCTAAAAAGTACACTTTTATTGACAGTGTACAGGATTTTTGGCCCAATTTTTTTTTTGATCGAAAATGTAACCGTTGGAATCGAACTCAAATAATTGAAATAAGTACTAAATCTGCTTTAAATGATTACTATATATATATTTATTACTTATTATTATACTACTATAGTCGATCTTTGCCATTAGCCAATTAGTTCCGACTTCCGAGAAGGCGAAATACGTAAATGAATATTAATAGTCAGATTAATCTTATTAATTTAGTTAGTAACGTAATGACTTGTATTTTTCCATCTATGTCATACTACGTGTATACACATGCACATTTAATATGTTTGTATACATTTAAATATCAAGTTATCAACAAGTTAATGTGTATATTTTAAACACAAATATAGTATTTATAGAGTAGCCGATCCCAAGACGGCATGTTCTTTTTCTTTCCAGTTTCATATTTGGAATTTGCTTACCGAGTCTGTGTTTAAAATAACAAATATTATTTTTATATAATTAAATTACAAAACATTTATCAGATGATAAACAATGACATAAACTAGAAACTGTAACCTTAAGTAGTGCTTAGGAAAATTTATAAATCGACGTACTTATTTTAGTAATTATAGTGCTGCACGTTCTCGAAAGATCTGGCAAATTTATTTACTTTAAATGAGTGTGAGTGAATGCGTAAATTAACCTGAGATCTACATGTATTCTCTTTTTTGTTCTTATGTATATATATTAGGTTTTAAATTTAAACTATGACATGTGATTGTCGTAGTTGAGATGGTGACAGTGATTGTTAAACTTTTAATTCACCATTCACAGATTTTGTTACTATTTCTTTTGCAGAAAAACAGTTGGTCTTGCAAATGCATGTGTTTTTTACTGACATCAGAATTGTATATATGTGAATGCTTTATCTGTTGAATAAATCATCCGAAAAAAATCGTTTGTTATTTTTTCGTTGTCAACCATCATCGTCTATACTATTTAATTTTTTTTTGTGTGAATTATATGCTGGGAATGGAATTTATCAACCAACTCTTATTTGTTGCACCCTTTTCTTAGAAAATGTTAAAATTTTGTTGACCAACCAAAAAAAAAAATTTTACAGAGTTTTGAAGAAGAAAAAAAAAATGAAAAAAATCGTTACAAAAAGCTGTGAAAATAAAGTCGTTCTCATATGTGGAGTCAACGAGGAAAAGGCTCACTAAATTTGCTTGAATCTTGATAGAGATGGAAATGGTGATGGTATGTTAATGAGATGTTAAAAAAAATTAAAAATTGTTAATGAGATGAGAATAATGATGGTGGCCTTTTTGATTAACGCCTTTTGTTTCATTTTCTGTAACACACCATTTTAATAAAAGAGTAGTACTAGTGGATAGTGTGAAAATATAACAGTTATATACTATATATATATATATATATATATATATTGATTTATCTGTTTGTTGTGGTCATCCTAAATCATCACTACCAACAAATCTAACTATTTAGTCAATGTGATTAGTTTAACTTGTAAGTCAATAGGACTTAAATATTAAAATTTGTAGATTGCATTTGGATATAACCTATTCGTATTATTCTATAAAAAAAATTTGGTGGAACAATTAATATGATTGTTTGACTAGTAACGGTATACGTGTGGTTGTCCAATTGTCTTATGTTATTAATAATCAAATCCATCTAACTTTTCACCAAAGTTTCTCTCCGCCGTCCAATAGAATATACCTATTTATGTCAAATTGCCAAATACATTATACATATATCATATGCTACGTAATTTCAGCAGACGAATTATTTTAGATAGTGTACCGACAAAGCTATCACGACATATGACATTTTTTCATTATTACGTAAATTTCGTAACATCACATTGATATATGAGAGTCTATATCATATAGATATATTGTTACAATATATGTAGGATATACTCCAAATTTGTTTAGGTTTTTTCATATTCATTTTTCTCATATTTTTGATAGAATATCATATTCATCCTATTAGTATACGTATTATGAATACATCTACGACGCGTACGTGTAATATATTAATATTAAGGGTGATGAAAGGTACTTAGAATTTCATTTTAAATTGTTTTGCTACATTAATGGAAAAACTAAATTCATTTTAAAATATTTTCACCGGTGAGGAGAAAAGAACTTAATGTATCTATACTACGTGTTAGATACTCTCATCGCCAATAATTTATTTTAATCAACTAGAACCTCTATAAATTAATACTCGATAAATTAATAATCACTATAAATTAATAATTTTTATCGATCCTAAGTCGGATCAGTGTAAAAATTAGCAAATTTCGATAAGATAATAAGATAATAATTTTTTCGAAACTCCTATGTAAAAATATAGTCCCAATAATTAGATAAATTAATAATTATACATTTAAACATATATAAATAATATAATATAGTAAAATATAATTATATTATTATTTCAAGTTTATAAAAATTATTTGACTTATTTTTCAAATTCACTGATATGTTATTTTCTGAATAAATTTTACATCATTAAAAATATTTTTTTTTGTTTTTAACAAATATTTTAAATTTGAACTGAAATATCTCTCTATAAATTAATAAAATATTAATTTTTTGATAAATTAATTAATAATTCTATAAATTAATAAAATTTTGAAGTCCCAACATTATTAATTTATAGAGGTTTTACTGTATATATAGTTAAGAAATTATCAAATATGTATTATACAAGTTACTGAGTTAGTTAGACACAATGTACGTTATATGTTAATTTTGAACAGTTGAACATTATCAATGTGTCATATATGTTACTTAATCAAATATATATACACTTTGTCACTTTACATGTTAATGAATTCAAACTAGCTAGTACCACATTGCTTGAAAACAAATCAAAACCTACAGAATCATATTTTATAATACGTATTATTTGAAGAGTATGACATGGTTATGTGTGTATGTGTTTTTTTTTAACGCATGGTTGGGTTTTAATATTTGAAATGGCATGCAGATACGATACTAATTAATTAGTCATCTCTTTGTATCTTATGATATTTTAGAGAACACTAATCACATTATCGCATGTGCACGTCCACATGTGCTGAAATGGGCCGAGGGAATGTTGGAAGTGAGGCCCAAGAGAAAAGGGACCACAAAGGGTGTATTAAACCATCTCAACTGTAAATGGCGGTGGTCGGTCTACGTTACAAATTAAAGTGACCCATGTGATTTTATAATGTTTCTATCAATGATCAAAGGGTACGGGTTAATAAAAAATAGAAGAAATATAAAAAAAACTATATAGTATAGGTTTTACTATTTTTGAGAAAATGTTTCTATTATAATATAAGCTCAATCTTGCCTAATAGTTTCACGCACTGCTAAACAATGAGATTTTTTTCTTCATAATGTATTGGGTTAGTTAGATCATCGTACTTGAATAATTAACCAAACTTTTTTAATTTTAAGTATCTAACTCAATTATTTAAGGCACTAGTTATATAACTCGTGCTACGCGCGAGTCTGTATTAATATTTTGGTTTATTTTTTTAGATACTATCTTTAAAATTATTAAAATTATATATATTTATAGAAATTTTCATTTATATAAGAGAATTTAATATATAATGTGTAATTTATCCTATTTTTATTTATAAAGTAAAATAATAACAGTGACACCTATCAAATTATCCAACTTTGACGTACATATACATTTGATTTAGAGAAATATAATCTTGATAAGATTTTGATATTATTTTCTGTTTTCCATATAATTTATATAGTTCTTTTTTCCTTGAAGGT